GTATTGCTATGTGATTTGCACACGGAGCACTTTGGCATGGTCAAAACCAAGCAAATGGCACGACGGTACTTATGGTGGCCAAATGTGGATCAAGAGATTGAAATGTTGGTCAAGGCATGTGCTCAATGCCAAGAAAGTGCGAAATGTCCACCTGCCAAGTCGGGAACCTGGTCATGGCCAAACGGTCCTTGGAAACGGGTGCATATCGACTTTGCAGGACCATTCATGGGCAAGATGTTCCTGGTTGTGGTGGATGCATACACAAAGTATCTGGATGTAATTGCAATGTCTAATGCCACGTCTGCAACCACTATTGCGGCTCTGCGGCACGTGTTCTCTGTGTTTGGTCTGCCGGAGCATCTTGTTTCAGATAATGGAACCCAATTCACGAGCGAGGAATTCAAGGCTTTCCTCCGTGCCAACGACATTGTGCACACCCTGACGGCTCCAGGCCATCCGGCTACGAATGGACTTGCTGAGCGCTATGTGGGTGTGTTTAAGCAGAAGTTGAAGGAAATGGGTGCAACGAGCGAACCACTGCAAGCTCGGCTCGACAGGTTTCTGCTAACGTACCGCACGACACCCAACCATGCCGGCAGAACACCGGCGGAGATGATGTTTGGACGCCAGCCACGCACGCGGCTCAGTGCTCTGCGTCCCTCGCAGGTACGTCAACAAGCAAAGGCTTATGAGGACGGCAATCGCGTCAAGCCAGCGTTCACAGAGAGTGACTCTGTGTTTGCGCTGAATTTCGGCAAAGGTAATCGTTGGGTCCCGGGACAAATTGTGCGTGTCCTCAGTGACTACAACTATGAAGTACAAGTGGGTGATGTGTTGTGGAAGCGTCACCGAGATCAGTTGCGTCTACGGTCAGTTCCGGCAAGCTTGAGTGCATCGCTGCCAGAACCACTGTTGGATACAATCGATCAGACGTCACCGTCACCAGTGCTGTCAGACGTAGGAGATTCGTCACGGCCCAGTGATTTTCCGGCTAGCGTCTCGCCACAGTCTGCTACTGTACAAGTTGAGGCGGATCCTCCTTGTGAGCAGTCGGCTCCTGAAGTTGGTTTACCACAGGTCGAGAATACTCCCTGTGAAACCACTGTTAGACGTTCGTCTCGGCGTAGTGTTCGTCCGGATAGACTGATTGAACAGCTTTGAGCCTTTCCCTGATGTCATTGCTGGACTGTTTATGAGGCCGAACCTGATAGCAATGGAAATAAAATTTTCCAATCAGGCCCGAACGTACCTTGCCAGAGTGGTCAAACTGACAAGTCAGTGAGCTCTGCATAACGCATACAGCAAAGGCACTACCCTACGCAAGAGTGCTCAACTGCTGCAAGAGCAGGAGCGAAATACTCAATCTGCGGACAGCATGCTGTTTCGTTCTTTTTGAACTCATCAGCGCAGCACAGAGGAAATGAGGCCGAACCTGATAGCAATGGAAATAAAACTTTCCAATCAGGCCCGGACGTACCTTGCCAGAGTGTTCAAACTGACAAGTCAGTGAGCTCTGCATAACGCAAACAGCAAAGGCACTACCCCACGCAAGAGTGCTCAACTGCTGCAAGAGCAGGAGCGAAATACTCAATCTGCGGACAGCATGCTGTTTCGTTCTTTTTGAACTCATCAGCGCAGCACAGAGGAAATGAGGCCGAACCTGATAGCAATGGAAATAAAACTTTCCAATCAGGCCCGAACGTACCTTGCCAGAGTGCTCAAACTGACAAGTCAGTGAGCTCTGCATAACGCAAACAGCAAAGGCACTACCCCACGCAAGAGTGCTCAACTGCTGCAAGAGCAGGAGCGAAATACTCAATCTGCGGACAGCATGCTGTTTCGTTCTTTTTGAACTCATCAGCGCAGCACAGAGGAAATGAGGCCGAACCTGATAGCAATGGAAATAAAACTTTCCAATCAGGCCCGAACGTACCTTGCCAGAGTGCTCAAACTGACAAGTCAGTGAGCTCTGCATAACGCAAACAGCAAAGGCACTACCCCACGCAAGAGTGCTCAACTGCTGCAAGAGCAGGAGCGAAATACTCAATCTGCGGACAGCATGCTGTTTCGTTCTTTTTGAACTCATCAGCGCAGCACAGAGGAAATGAGGCCGAACCTGATAGCAATGGAAATAACACTTTCCAATCAGGCCCGAACGTACCTTGCCAGAGTGCTCAAACTGACAAGTCAGTGAGCTCTGCATAACGCAAACAGCAAAGGCACTACCCCACGCAAGAGTGCTCAACTGCTGCAAGAGCAGGAGCGAAATACTCAATCTGCGGACAGCATGCTGTTTCGTTCTTTTTGAACTCATCAGCGCAGCACAGAGGAAATGAGGCCGAACCTGATAGCAATGGAAATAAAACTTTCCACTCAGGCCCGAACGTACCTTGCCAGAGTGCTCAAACTGACAAGTCAGTGAGCTCTGCATAACGCAAACAGCAAAGGCACTACCCCACGCAAGAGTGCTCAACTGCTGCAAGAGCAGGAGCGAACTACTCAATCTGCGGACAGCATGCTGTTTCGTTCTTTTTGAACTCATCAGCGCAGCACAGAGGAAATGAGGCCGAACCTGATAGTAATGGAAATAAAACTTTCCAATCAGGCCCGAACGTACCTTGCCAGAGTGCTCAAACTGACAAGTCAGTGAGCTCTGCATAACGCAAACAGCAAAGGCACTACCCCACGCAAGAGTGCTCAACTGCTGCAAGAGCAGGAGCGAAATACTCAATCTGCGGACAGCATGCTGTTTCGTTCTTTTTGAACTCATCAGCGCAGCACAGAGGAAATGAGGCCGAACCTGATAGCAATGGAAATAAAACTTTCCAATCAGGCCCGAACGTACCTTGCCAGAGTGCTCAAACTGACAAGTCAGTGAGCTCTGCATAACGCAAACAGCAAAGGCACTACCCCACGCAAGAGTGCTCAACTGCTGCAAGAGCAGGAGCGAAATACTCAATCTGCGGACAGCATGCTGTTTCGTTCTTTTTGAACTCATCAGCGCAGCACAGAGGAAATGAGGCCGAACCTGATAGCAATGGAAATAACACTTTCCAATCAGGCCCGAACGTACCTTGCCAGAGTGCTCAAACTGACAAGTCAGTGAGCTCTGCATAACGCAAACAGCAAAGGCACTACCCCACGCAAGAGTGCTCAACTGCTGCAAGAGCAGGAGCGAAATACTCAATCTGCGGACAGCATGCTGTTTCGTTCTTTTTGAACTCATCAGCGCAGCACAGAGGAAATGAGGCCGAACCTGATAGCAATGGAAATAAAAATTTCCAATCAGGCCCGAACGTACCTTGCCAGAGTGCTCAAACTGACAAGTCAGTGAGCTCTGCATAACGCAAACAGCAAAGGCACTACCCCACGCAAGAGTGCTCAACTGCTGCAAGAGCAGGAGCGAAATACTCGATCTGTGGACAGCATGCTGTTTCGTTCTTTTTGAACTCATCAGCGCAGCACAGAGGAAATTAGGCCGAACCTGATAGCAATGGAAATAAAACTTTCCAATCAGGCCCGAACGTACCTTGCCAGAGTGCTCAAACTGACAAGTCAGTGAGCTCTGCATAACGCAAACAGCAAAGGCACTACCCCACGCAAGAGTGCTCAACTGCTGCAAGAGCAGGAGCGAAATACTCAATCTGCGGACAGCATGCTGTTTTGTTCTTTTTGAACTCATCAGCGCAGCACAGAGGAAATGAGGGAATAAACACAGTAGATATATAATTGTGACACTCGTAAATTCTTCAATATCTGGAGTCTTCTGCACAGCACATGAAGAACACACAGATCGCACAGGGAACACACAGAGAACAGAGACCGTGCACAGATCGCACAGACAACACACAGAAAACACAGAGAACGCACACTACTGCATACTGTCTTCAGAACATACATCGAAGCACAAAATCTGGGCTATCAGCTTGAGTAACTATTCACTTTGGACAGAGGGGGCAAACGGTGTTGTCCATGCTTCGCCTGGTTATTGTACTCAGCCTTCAACAGCGGTACAAAGAGCTCCGGAACAATGCATCCTCTCAGCTTGAGGCGATCGATGCAGTCTGGTGTAAGCTCATAGAATACTGCTCACAGATGCCGAACAAATGATCATTTACCAAGGCTGGCCTCGAGGCCATTTCTGAGTCCCAGCTTCGCCGTATCCAACCAGTCCATACTGGTGACTCGCACGATCATACACTCACTGTGCATGTTCAATTTTTTTCCAAAAAAATCAAAACGTATGCGCGCGGACGACGCGAAACATTGATATAAAAAATGATGGCCTCATACCAAGAAGAAAGTGTTAGCTCCCGGCTAATGAAGTCCCCTTACACCAAAACACAAGGGTTTTATAGTATTGAATTATGGAAGTACAAGAGTGTAGACAAGAAGGATAACAGGACAACGACAACTCAAGACAGCTAGAACAGAACTGGAGCATGCGCTCTTCTATGTGAGTGGCTCTCATCGCCAAGGGGAACAAGCGGGAAATAGGAATAGTGAGTATGACATTGTACAGGTCGTAGCATAAATACACCTATTACAAAAGGACCAAAGGTTTACAAGTTACCCATAGTTGTCCAACACTGCTCACCTTCCCCTTTCTTAAGATATTTCACAACTTAGAACCTTCCAAAGTTGGAAGGCTGTTGGCATGTGCACTCAATACGTAATGGAGTTGAACGTCAAGTCGTTTAATGTCGGCACAACAGCAGTCAATATTGTGCTAACTGTTGGACGTTATGACTCATCAATATCAAACTTTTAATTGCCAGTGTTGGACAACTACGGGTAACTTGTTAACCCGGCTTTAGTCATTTCTTCTCAAGTGTAATCCTTGGCTCTCCATCCGAGTTTATTCATATCACCAATACTTTGGAATTTGAATGCTTTCATTGACAGTGATTGATATTTGTACCGGTAAGGGTTTTATGTTGTCTTGAAAATTAAGCTTATCAGTGTTGAATATTTCTTCTCACAATTTATTCGCATAACAGATGGAGAATTTATAATGAAGTCAAGTCCCAGTGGCAGTGCCGTGTTCATCAGCAACACAGGTTGGAATTTCTACGCACCTCCCCTGAACTATGACTTTACAAAATGCACTGTCAGCATCCCAAGCAGGAATCTCTCACATACCTTCAAAAGCAATGGATTTGAATTGGTTGAGGATTCTACTCAGCCTCAGTCCTATTTTAAATACCGGATCAGTATCAACTACATTGACGCAAATGCCACGCACTCCTGGTTTCTACTCGATGGACGTATGAAAGACGAGGATTGTTTGCTGAAATGTAAAGAGGGTAGCATGCTGCATGGCAATCCATTCAATGTCATTAAAGGCATTAGCTACACGACCGCTGCAATCAGTACAACTCTATGGAAGACTCCATCCGATGAATATTTTCCAGTGCCTCAGAAAAGCGACGGTATGTTGTTTCACATACTACACTTGCTATACATGATATTATGTAGCTGTAAAAGGGTGTATTCACCCATAGCATGTGTGCGTGTGTGTGTTGACTGTTAAAATAGAAATGAAAGGCATAATAAACGCACTTATTTTGCAATCAACATGTGACAGTGTGTTGGATCCAAGCCCTTTCTTGTGCCATACATCAGCAATCAATCACCACAATGGCATTATAGGTGAAGACAGTTTTAGAGAGCATGTCTGAGAAAACTAGGAAAGGTGGTTTGCAGTACTGTCGGAGGCTGAAGAACGGGGGTTCACAGTCGTAGAGTAGACCATTCCTATTTTCCATGTAGAAATTTCAAAGCAGCAGAAGCACCATGTGTACTATTGGTATCCTGTATCCCGTCCGTGCTCATTTCTACCCTGTTCTCTCTTCAGCACATCGTTCTTCAGCACTCAATGGTGCTAAAAAACATGTTGAGTCACCTCCACCATTACACTGCGCTCTTTAGCCGACTAGATCCTCTTGCACACAATCATCACCACTGCGAGGACACTTCTGTAGACGATATTGATAATTCCTTCTGACAGCTGAATAAAAATAGAACAGTTCGCGTGCAAGGCAGCAAATGCTAACCTTTCCGCTTCTGTCTCTTTTGAGCTCTGCTACATGTGATGGTTGTGAAAAAAGGAAAAGAAAAAAACCCCGAGAGAAGTGAAAGTGCACAACCGGATAGAGGTGTGTATGGTAATGGGTGTATGTAAGTACGCGCATGCATGGGCTAGTGTGCGTACGGGGAAGTATGCGTGTGGGAAACTGTTATATAGTGAACACACGAGGTCGAACCTCTTCTATACACACACGAGGTCGAACCTCTCGTTCACACTCAGCTCACAACGATAACCAGTTTGTGGAACAGTGATAATTAGAATGAATCAATTACGTGGAGCATGCGCCAATAAGAACCAGGAGCCAGCAGGGCAAGAGAGAAGAAGAGAACAGGGCTAGAGAGACGTAAGTCGACGTGTGCTTCATGTACTCACTATGTAATGAATTACTAACCATTGAAGCATTATGTCAACCACATTCAAAATGACAAGTGTTCCAAATATTCAAAACTCTCAGTGAGTGAGAACGTCTCAAGAAAAGATACAGAAGTGTAATGCAATGAAACTACCTCAATGAATAACTGATACTCTGTTTACTGTGATATACAACAGAAACGAAGTGCAAGCACTAATAGTTACTGAGCGGCCAAAATGCAGCGGTTACAGCTTGAACGTTAAGAACGGAGTCACTGAGCGGAGCGGAC